TGTATGGTAATCTATTTACATACTTGATCTTTAGATATTTTCATATCACAGACAAATCTATCATAAATGGCACATTCCACTGTAAATAAAAAAACATTTATAACCCCTTTTTAAAAATGAGATCCAAATAAGTCTCCGTGCCATTTTAGACTACAAAGACTGGACATAAATATTTGTATGAATAATTTCTTGCTTTTTTTCAGCAAATGAAGATGAATTATCATCAATAGTCAGAAACAAAAAAGTTTGTTGGACTGATAAAAGTGATAAAACAGCAAAAAGAAAGAGAAAAATTACTCCAGAGAATCAAAAATTGGAAGTTCCACTGCAAAGGAAGAAAAAGAAACGGAATAGCACAGCATGAAGGCAGCTATTTTCTCTCCTGAATAAGAAGTAAATACTGGTGTTGCTGTAGTTTTTTATAACAGTGTACACCTCTGACAGGACATATACCTCTGAATTGATCTGTTACTTAAACGTAATGAATGTTTTTACTCTAATGAACTGATAATTCTGGGAAGTAGCAAAAGAGATGGCAACTTTTCCTAAGTGAATAAGGCAAAAATAAATTCATAATATGTAATGTTTGTATTTTTCTATTAACAATAGCATACACTTTTTAACTGGCTCTGAAAAAGCCAGGTAAAACAATAAAAATAGCTGCATCTGTCTCAATTACATTTTAGTCTCACTTAAATGCATACTAAAAATATGGACACTTTTTAATTTTAGTGTTGGAAAAGATACTGTTCATTTGACTCAAATATGATCTGCCTTTATTGTGCATTACTTTTCCTACTACAAGAACAAACATGTTAAAATTACTTAAGATATGATGATCACATTCCATTCCTACATTCACAGAAAATCATACTTTCTAGTTCCTGCATGGAGTTATACATAGAGTTTATAAGCAAAATGTTTGGGTTTTTTACTTCATGCATTTAATTTTAAAAAACATTTGCACCCCATGGTTCACATGACTGAAATCTTTTATTCAGAATATGAGACATACTTTTAGATGGAAGAGTTTATGTCAATAAGGTTTTACCTTCTCTTCCCTCTTCCCATAGTATTTTTTCATGTCCATGATCTGAGCTGTATTGTTAAAAAAAAAATCTAACATTTGAAATGTTTGTCATGCTGATAAAATGTCACCCATCTGTTTTGTACTTAAGCAAAAAGTGAATTCCAGACCTCATTCAGTGGGAACAGGACTTTATTGTCTTATTGCAAATATATAGTGGGAAATACAAAGTTGAGGTGGAGAGAACAAGGTCAAACAGCTGTACTAAATGTTTTCTTTTATTTCTTTTAAAGTGAGGCATTTTAATGTTGTTTTCTGCACTATGGGAGTAGTTGTTATTTCTTCTGTTTTCAAAGAGTAATTGGATTATGATTCATTCTGATTCACTTTAGTAATAATCTGTTCCTCCTTATTTGTGTAGCAAGAGAAATGTAGAGAAAATCAGAAAAAAAGATTGAGCCAAATCTGGAGACAGGAATAGAGGCTGTCTTAGGGATGCAAAATAGGATATAATTCCAGATCATCTCTGTGTATGATCTGACACTGAAACAAAGTGAGCATCATCGGTGCTGTTACGAGATTGTTCATGTGGCAATGGCAGTATTCTCTTGGAGGTGGGTGTCTGTATTTGTTTGTCCTGTATTATGTTCTGTAACTGTTTGCCTTATTTAGATAAAAGATCACAACCCATTGTCTGAATATTCAGTATAGTTGTTTTATATGAGCTCAGTTTATCATAGAATCATAGATTGGTTTAGGTTGGAAGGGACCTTAAAGATCATCTACCTCCAACCCCCCTGCCATGGGCAAGGACACCTCCTGCTTGACCAGGTTGTTCAAAGCCCCATCCAACCTGGGCTTGAACACTTCCAGGAATGGGGCCTTCACAATTTCTCTGGGCAACATTCCAGTGTCTCACCACCCTCAGAGTAAAAAATTTCTTCCTAATATCTAATCTAAACCTGCCCTCTTCCAGTTTGAAGCTGTTACCCCTCATCCTGTCACTACATGTCCTTGTAAAAAGTCCCACTCCAGCTTTCTTGTATGCACCCTTTAGGTATTGGAAGGCCGCTATAACGACTTCCCAGAGCCTTCTCTTCTCTGGGCTGAACAACCCCAACTCTCTCAGCCTGTCTTCACAGAAGAGATTCTCCAGCCCTCAGATCGTCTTTGTGGCCCTCCTTTGGACCCTCTCCAACACATCCATGTCCTTATGTTGGGGGCTCCAGAGCTGGACGCAGTACTCCAGGTGGGGTCTCACGAGAGCAGAGTAGAGGGGCAGAATCACCTCTCCCCCCCTGCTGGCCACGCTTCTGATGCAGCCCAGGATGTGATTGGCTTTCTGGGCTGTGAGCGCACGTTGCTGGCTCATGTTGAGCTTCTCATCAACCAATACCCCCAGGTCCTTCTCCTCAGGGCTGCTCTCAATCCATTCTCTGCCCAGCATGTATTTGTGCATGAGATTGCCTTGCACTTGGCCTTGTTGAACTTCATTAGATTTTCACAGACCCACCTCTTCAGCCTGTCCAGGTCCTTCTGGATTGCATCCCTTGCCTCCAGCATGTTGACCGCTCCACACAGGTTGGTATCATCGGCAAACTTGCTGAGGGTGCACTCTTCATGTCGCCAACAAAGATGTTAAATAGTACTAGTTTAACTCAACATTAAAGGGATTTCACTTGTACTTTAGTTTGAACTTACACAGCTTTTAACTTTAATAATACCCTGAATGTGTGTGTACACAAACACAGGCAAATAATGTAGGACTTAAAATGGTTTGTAGACTTGGCAGGAAAGGTACCAAAGCAGATTTTTAATTGATAACAAGGCTCCTGTGGTAAATACAGGACTTGCAAAGTATAAGCTTAAATAAGAGATTTGTATAAAGTGTTTTCAATTGCAAAGTGTTATGTCTATTTTATAGTGCTTAGCTTATCTCCTTGACAAAATGGCTGCCACTACTAAAACAGTTTTTATTATTTGAATTTTTAAATACATGAGTTCATAGCCAAGGACATTACAATTAAAGAAACAAGCTCTCATGAGCACCGGGAAAAATCCAGTCTGCACATAATTTTAAGAATTAAAATGCAAAAAATCCACAGAATTTCGGTTCTAAGTTTTAGATTTACAAGTAAATATTAGGCCTTTGTAAAAATCCAAACTCCCTTGTAGTAACAAAGAATTATGTACATCGTGAGACTCAGAACGATTTGTGAACTGGAGACAGAGAAAACAAGAAACAAGTCTTAACAGCTTTTAAGGTGAAATACAGAAACAGTCCTGAGAGGACAACTCATATTTTCTATGCCTTGAGTGAATGCTCAGCTGCTAACCAGTATTTGGCAAATTTTTGTTATTGTTTTCTTGTGCACATCTTCCTTTTTAAAACATTTTTCATTCTAGTTTTCAGGGAACTGCATAGAATTATAGAGGGGAGGCAGCAGTGCACAAAGAGAAGAGAGATGTCAGCAGTGAGAAAGCTCTTCCTGTGTCAGAAAGGGTGAGCGTGCAAGAAACCAGTGGAGTAGATGGAGACATGGCTGCAAGAAACGACAGCCTAGGGAGTAGCATCTCATCTGATCCCCGGGTGAGTTCAGCAGCTCCAGCAGCTGTAGGCTTCTTCCAGTTTTCCTCCTTCCCTCTTGGGGACCCCCCCAGTGCTGGAGCGAAAGCAGAGCCCAGTGAAACTTGAACTTCATAGCCATTAGGCAGCTTGGACAGAAAAAGGAATCCCATCCTTAGGTCCACATTGGTTGTGGCACTTTTCATGGAGATAGGAGATCTATATTTAAACCACTTAAGCCAACAAGGCAATTAAAGTGTTCCCCACTTTCTGATCATTGGGCTAATTCATAAAGACGGCAAAATATGAAATGCAGCTCGAGAAAGCTGCATTTTGCAGAAAGCATGGGCCTCTGATGTTTTGTGCTTTCTGTTATGGAGAGGGGCTGAAGCCTTTCAGCTCAGGGACCCGGCTGGAGGAGTGCTGTTTCTTTCTATATGGTTAAATGTCCATGGGAGGTTAAGTGCCTAGCCAACTGGAATCAATCATGCAACACTATTTAAGTGAAGAAAGCACTCGGGGAAAAAATAAAAGTTTAGCTTTGCAGACAGTTATAAATATCTTTTTACATTTTTCCTGATTAAAAAAAAATGCAAAACATTTTCAAGATGTTTTACCTCTCCCACTGTTGCATAATTTCTACAGCAGAAGACTCTTTTTTTCTGTTGCACTAGCTGTGCTTGTAGTTTAAAGATTATACAAATCCTGTACATCTTCCATAAAAAGGCTACACTGAAATTATCGATCAGAGCTAGAAGCGGCCTGTCGACTGCCCAGAGTTGCAGCTCATGCCACACCAAAACCCAACCCCAAATTCTCAGCTCACCACATACCCCCACTTCTGGTACAGGGCCAGGATGGACTGGGTGCACACGAATGCAGGTTATGAGGGAGCTATGCCCCTCGCTAAACCAAGCACACAAAACTTCACCTGCACCCAAGTTTCTCCCTATTTGTAGCACCCGGGCTCGCTCGGGCATCCTCGATACACTCCGCCGGGGGGGTGACCCTGCGGGTAGGTGGGAAGGCACCAACGCTTTCTACTCCGTACCCCCGGGCTGCGGGACGCACCCTACCCTGCCTATTGGTTTTTGGTTTCGTTTGGTTTTTTTTTTCTTCCTGTTTGAGATTTGTTTTGTTTCCCTTCCCTTAGAACAGCCGGAAAAGGCAAGCTTTGGGCGGTGCGTTGTTCCCTCACCTCCCCTTCCGCAGCCTGCTCCGCCCCGGGCCGCT